TTCAGCGCCATCCTAGTTCTTCCGGGCCTAATTCTCTGGTCAAGACTTTCCCACATTTTCTGGCTTCGCCTTTGCCAGCTTTTGCCAACACCACCCTCGCGTCTCGGGGCCCGGGACCTTCCTGCCCTCTCCCCCTCCCCGGCCCGACGGTCCCACCCGAGGCAAAAACAAACAGCCCTGAGGGCACTTCAAGGAGCGTGCAGTGGCCCCGACGGCACGCTCGGCAGGCTAAGAGAGGCGGCCAGCCACCCCGCCGGCCCCCGGCCGAATAATGGGCGCCGAGCAGATTGCCGGGGGCACTTGAAACTCGAGGGGAGGGAAATACTTGAGCGCGGCCCCTCCCCGCGCCCGGCGGACGGCGCGGCCTCGCGGACCCTCCCTTGTTCGCTCTCTTTCATGCACTCTCCTTTTGTGTGGAATTATTTAAACGGGAGATCCAGGGCAGCTTTATGCTAATGTGCCGAACAAAGGCAACGGCCCGCGGGCGGGGGGCCCGGAAGGTGCCCGGAGGCCGGGCCGGGCGGAGCGGCGGGCGGGCGGGCCGCGCGTGTCTCTCGCGTGCCCCGGGGACCGCACAGCCACCCCTCATTCCTGCAAACACAAAGCCTCTCCGGGCTGGGCCCGGCCGCACAGCGCACGGGGGCGCGGGCCCCTCCGGGACCTGGCGGCGGGCTCTGCGGCGGTGACGCGCGGTTCAGCCTGGCCGTGGCTCGTGGGCGGGGTGGGGCTTCCGTGAATTCAGGGAGGGGTCCGCAGCAGAGTGGGGATGCGGGGGACGCTGACAACTCCCTCTCGCCCTCCCGGGCGTCTCTAAACGCGCTGCGATTGCAGACCCTTGGGTCTTCGCCTCCCAGGGACTGCCTGGACTCGTCGACACCCCACCGGGAGATTCCTAGGCCGAAATTCCCCGCTGTAGCGCTTTTTTCCAAGGTTCGCGCTTTCTAGAAACTCCCTGGAGCTAGACTCTCGAACCAGGGATCCCAGTGAACCCCGACGCGCTCCGCGACAGCAGCCTGGGACGCCAGGACGGGAGAACTTAGCGCCTGCGGCCTCCAGCTCGGCAGCCGTCAAAGGAAGAACCCACAGCCGGCTCTGCAAGGACCCGAAGCGAAGAGGCCGCCGTATTGTTCCAAAGCGCCGGCCAGGACCCCACAGGAAGAGGAGGAGTCACCTGGGGGCTGGGAAGGACACTTCGGGACCCAGCCGTGGATCCCTCTGCTAGCCGACTCCGGTGAAGCTCCCCTGGAGGGAGGCAAATAGGCGCTCTGCGTTCCCCTAGCCCAACTCCACGCCGCCCCTACTCGAGATCGCAATGCGCAGAGGCCCGCCGCCGGGGCGCGGCGTGGTGGCGCTTTGCTCTTCCTAGAGGAAGACAGACATCTCGATTCAATTCCCCCATCCCCGCGGGCGTGTAGATTCTGAGAAATAAAATCCCTCAGAAGACGACGGAAACCCACGACTGGGTGCAAGGGTGCACGTACTTGGAGGTTGCTGGTGTGTGCGTGCGCGCGCGCAACCCAATTCTTCCCCAGCCCTAGGTTATGAAATTAGTTTCCAATACTTGTACCTTTCAAGTTTCCGTTCATTTTGACCCTACCCGTCTGAAAGCAGATTTCCTTTTCGCTGGCAAGACTAGAAACCACAAAGAAAAAGAAACAGATCCATTGAAAATCTGTCTCAATAGTATTCAATAGATTCTCTTGGCTTAATTCAGAGCCCTGTTTGAATTCGCTGCTTTCAAGCAGGGGTTTTGCTTTTTTGCCCGCCCCCCCCATCCCCCGGCACTCTTTACAATTATGGGTGTTGTTATTTTTAAAGGATTTACAAGGTGACTACCTCTCCCTGTTATCTGTTGAATGAAAAGAGTGTTACACATGCAGGACCAAATACTCCGCAGTCAGTTGGGGATGGCGGACCGAGCCCCCGCCCTATTATTCCACAATCCAGATGGGATTCGTGATTAGAAAACAAAATTGGCCGAAGCTGTCCCGGAATCTCTTTCCCACTTCTAATTTCATCAGCAGTATTAATCAGCGCTCAAAGGAGCAAGGAAATAACATCGGTTACTTTTAGATGGAAATATATTTATAAATTTTAGATAAACTCATTTTAGGATTTCTAACTTTTTTCAGGACTAGCATTCATTTTGAAAGTTAGCATTTTCAAAATGAGGGTGAAAGCTTTCAAAATATATTTCATTCTATGTATTCTTCTCTTTTCAGTGTGAGTTAAAAAAAATCACAAACATAAAATCAAATATTTTCCCCCTTGATTGCCGACTCGATTAACCCCTTGACTAACTAACCCTAACAACCGTCCCCATTACCACTTATTACTCGTGTGAACTCTATTTTTAAAATCTGTTTAATTTCCACGCCAGGGTATTTTCAGAGGGAAAATCCAAAACATTTAAATACTTTCAGTGGAATTGAGCGTAAGCAAAACGTATCTGGGTGCACAAAGCTTTGCAGAAATATGTCCGTTTCCTTCTCTTGCAATAAAGTGACATTTTCCTCACAACATATCACATTTTATGTGGCTTTGCTGTTCGTTCCCCAGTGATGGGCGATCAGGGCCACGACGCAGTCTTGGGGTCTGTCCCCATCCCCCAAAGATTCTGCCTTTTGTGTTTCCCCCGAGGCTGGGCTGGGAAGGGGATGGAGGCAGAGGGCCGGGTCTGGGTCCAAACCGGGCGGCGGGGGTGAGGGAGGGGGGACGGTGGAGTGTGGATCTTCGCTGTTGTCTTTTTCTGGTGGCACCGGGGGAGGCAGCTCGTCCTCTCCGAGGCCGCAGCCTGCCTCAGAGGACAGATTGCTCCCCCCCGCCCCGGCCGGCAGCACGCGTCTCTTTTGCGTCCAGATTGGCCGCGACCGGCGCTCAATAGCGGGAGGTTAATTTCCTTCACAAAGGTGAAGGGGGCAAGGCTCCGGGGGGGCCCGCGCCCAGACAGGCGGCCCCTTTATTCCGTAGCGCCTTGATTGGAGCCCTTGATTTAGCATCTGATGTCAACCGGCAGACAAAATGCCCGCTCGGAATGAAAATGCATGAGGCCGCACGGGGAGAGCGGAAACCAACTTTACTGGGGAGCACCGGCTTTGGCCCGGCGCGTTTCGTGCTTTGGCCAGCTCCAACCGAATCAACCCAGACCTGGGCGATGCGGAGGCTCGGAGCGGCCTGGACCGGGAGCCTCCAAGGATGCCAATCCCTGAGCCACGGGGAACTTGAAAAAAAAGTTCAGAAATTCAAGTTCCTTTTGGAAGTCAGCCCAGCCTGCCCACCCCACCCCACCCCCAGCGCCGCATCTGCTGGCGATTGAAGAAGTGCGGTGCCAACTGTTTCTCAAACTCCAGAGAAACCTTTCCGAGGCGCGCGGACCCGCCGAGGCTGCGGTCACAAACATCGCCCTCGGCTGCAGTTAGAAGGCCAGAGCCGATCCTCTACCAAACGTGGAACCCCAGTTCCTTTTCGCTTGGATCCTGGGTCCCGCGGCCCACTCATCCCAGGCACGAGCGGGGGCTCTTGGCGGCCCGGAATTTGCAGCTATTTTCGATTCTTCATTATTTCCCAAACACCAAGAGGAGTTCCTGCGCCTCTCCTGACCCCACTCCCGCCCCAGCAGCGGCACTCAGATCTCCCCCGCGCCTGCTGCTGCCCACCGCCGCCCCTACCCAATCAGCGCGCACAACTTCCCCCTCCGCTCCGGCTCGCGGATTGAACCCTCCTGACATATTTTGGGCCATTCTTCTTCTTTGTTGCTATTTTGCTCGCGACCCGCGGGTAATCCCCGCGCGGCAAGGGGGGCGTGCATTGTCGTGCTGATGGACGGGCCCATTTGGCGGCTCCGCGCCCCCCGGAGGAGAGACACAAAGCCCAGGCACGTGCGCCTCCCCATAGAGGAGCAGCAGACCGTGAAGGGAGGCGGGGCCGGGCGTGT